CTCTTCTGAGAGGGCAAAATGTCATTAGCTCCAACAAACATAAAAATAAATGGAGATTTTAAGCGGGTTTTGATAACTTCAGTTAAAACAAACTACTGTTTATGAAGACTTCATGGCAATGCAATGAGGCTGTTGTAATTGCCTAATTAAATAAGCTGCTACTAAAAGAGAAAGGAGAGAAGGTGGTCTTTTATTTAGTACAAAAGGTTTCTTGAGTCCCGGCCAGTTTGGCTCAGCAATTATAGTGTCTGCCTGTGGACTGTGGGTTCGATTCCCAATCAAGGGCACGTACCTGGTTTGAAGGTTCGATTCCTGGCCCCAGTAGGGCAGGGTTGTGTGGGAGGCAACCTATCAATGGGTCTCTCTCACATCGATGTTTCTCTCTCTCTCTCTCCCCCCCCCCTCCATCCCTCCCTCCTACTCTATCTAAAAATCAATGGAAAAATATCCTCAGGTGAGGATTAACAACAACCAAAATAAAAGGTTTCTTGAGAGGAACAGAATACTCTTTCCTTCTAGAACGTTTTAAGTCTATATAGTATTGATGTCAAAAAGAAAGAATTGGAACCAGTTTTACTAAATTAAGAACTAGTAGGAGATAATAGAAGAGAAAAATCTGCAGTTTGAGAGTACATTATGGTCCAATAAGAGTAGCCAAAACACTGACCCATTATTTATGTTCTCCCGAAAGCTGGTTGATATTGTTTCTTAAAAAAGAAAAAAGGAATAGACAGCTTATCTGCCAAAATTAAGAATGCCTAGAATGGTTAGTTCGTTAAAATAGTTCTGAGATAAAGAGATAGGAAAGTAATATACTTTCTGTTTTTTATAAAGAGAAAAAAAGGAGTCAACTCTCAAATTCAGACAAAGCACCATGTTTATGATGTAGAGAAAAAAAAATTTAAGGCATGATTTTGTTTAAGTATCTGAGATGCAACTATATTTTAAAAGTTATTATTAGAAAAACATTTTTCTCAAGTATTATATTTGTCCACCCGATTTTTAAACATGCAAAGCTTTAAGTACATATAGGGAGCACGCATTCTAATGTGTTAATTTTAAATGCAAAAGTAACTCAAGTTTTTGCTGACACTGTAAATAAATCAAAAAGCTACTCAACCATTAGTAGTAAACATCTAGCTACTTTTATGTAGGATGTAATAAAAAACAGCATAATAAATTATTTAAAAATATGAGGTAGTCATAGTATCTTCCTTTTGGAAATGAAAATAAAAGCAAAGAGGCCAAATAACTTGATGACCTTGTAGAACACAGAAATAAATTAAAAATCAGGATTAGCATTCTGAATTACTGTTTTCAGAATTGTCTATTAAGGCTATGAACAAATTCTGTTGTTTCAATTTACCATGGGGGTTGCAAAATATTACTCCCTATTGCAGAAACAAGTACAATGAAATATGACTAATAATATAAACAATATGTACGCTTCTCTTAAACTACCTAAAAATTTTTGTGAAAGTATAGATCAAGATAACTCAAATTTTAAAGACAAATCTCTTTCAAATCTCGACTTATATAAAAGTTATGTTCCTAAAAATAACCAAGTTGGCTATCGTATATGCGGAAAATTAAGAGTTACTTTTTTTTTAAAGGGTAAACACAAACTATTATGGGATAATTGTTTGGTTTAGGATTGGCCTTCAGTCTATTCTTCCCACCCTAATACTAGGTATAAATCAGCTTTCCCCAAAATGGTGGTTTGAGAAGCCCCATATTCAAATATCCTATTACTCCCTCCCTGGAATGTCTGGACTGATAGGAACTGTTGAAAAGGAAAACACCAATTATACCATTGCACCACATTAGAAATTTAAGTTAAGAAATTCCATTTAAAAAAATACAACTACCACCTTAGCAGAATTAGAAATGTCAGCTCTTCATTATTTAGCATAACTGATTTACTTTAACTGGCCTTCTAAACACCTAGCTAAGAATGCAAAAGAGTTAACATTCTTACTGGACGCCCTGGGGGAGCATGATAGAGAGGCAATTGTGGACTATGTCCCCTGCCCGAGTGAAGACTCTGGACAGCAAAAGGATCCACAGTGCTTCAGTAGAATAGGAAAAGGAAAGATAGTCCAGGACTAGATGCTGGAATTCAGCTAAAGACAATTTTGAACACATTGTACTTTTGATCTAGCACCAATGACCAACAATTGAACCAAAGCAAATATTTATAGCGAAAATCAGGCATGCAGCTAACTATTATCATTGTGAAGCACAATACCATAAAAGTTGAATCAGTCTGTACATGTTATATTAAACTAGTATAGTGTGAACTCATGTGGCTGTGGATCCAACTATACATGTTACTCTTGAATATTTTTTTACAACCAGATTGATATGAAATGTTGTCAAAGTTTTGTACAGTTGGCCTGTGTCTACTAATATAAAGAAGCAATCAGAAGGTCTGTACAAGTAACACTGAAAACACAAATATGGAGAAAGTTGTGGTTTTTCTTGATTTAAAATTATTCAATTACAAAACTAGTTTTTACAGTAAGAAAATAAAATCATTGTTTACTATTATTCACAGTTTGAACACTTCTTGATTTTAGGCCTAAATTACATGTTTATATTTTAAATGAGTGAAATCTAGTTATTAAAGTCTTAATAAAGCATTTGATGACCATTTTATATGGGTAAGGTGACCTTCTTGTAAGGGTGGGGCAATGTACCTTAGAAGCTAAGTGTGTCACTTAAATTTTGCTAGTCATTAGGTTTTGGAGTATATATTTTAACCCAGATATACAAAAGTCATGTATTAAAACAGAATAGGGTTTGCTGAGTACATTATTTGATAACAGAATGTTTCTACACAGGAATGGTGGACTGTTTGTAAAATGCCAGTAATGTATAAACACAGATCCTAAGTTATTCACTTAGCCTATGTAAAATCTATACATTAGATTTTCTGCCAATAATACTTTTTCTTGGTCAGTTTTAAAAGTATCTATAATTCATGTTTGACAACCTTTAAGTCAGAAAACAGGAAAAGAAGACTAATCATAATTTTAAATATTTCTAATTTCCAGTAACATGGGCACTTACATTCATGATTCAAGAAACAATAAGCCAGAAGGGTTATATTGGGGCTACTAATGAAAACCCAAGCACAGATGCTCAAGCTCAAGGAATAACTGGCTTATAGAAATACCACATGTTAAGAAGCATTCAAGCTTCTTTTCTATATATACATTAAGAGTGCACATTTCTAGGGAATCTTGAAGCAACTGACAAACCTCTCAATAAAATTATTAAAGATTTAAAAAATTCTATACATAATACTATCAACTATGAAATTATCTTACTGTTAAATATTCTTAAGAGAATAAAATAAAAATGATAACTTATAGAAGACTAATAACAGGAGAAAAAATATGTCTCAAAAGATACAATTCTTCCTATAAAGCTAATCAAAATGCTGTGCAACAAATTTATAAAATTTTAGATATGGAACACTATGTTGCATAGTCTACAGTCATATTTTTCTGCCCTTTCTGAATAGTGAGGCAGATTTAGCATTCTCCATACTATAATTTTCCACACTGAAACCAGAGGAATACTAGTTTTTGAATAGCATTACATTTTAATTGCGCTACTTTAAGATGGCAGGCCACACCCTAAACATAAGGTTAATGGAGTGAGAAGTATTTGGATTCTTTGTACTTTGAGCTCTTCAAAGGAAGTGTTTTATAAATTCAAGTTGTTAAGTGTTTTAGGGGGCAATGGAAACAAACAATTCTCATACAAAAAAAAAATCCTAGTTTTTAAGATAGTTCCTAATATCCAATATAGGATATAGGATATAAAATACTGGCATTCAACTATTTAAATTTATATAGATTTACAGTACTTTGGAGAAGTACAAAGAAATACTTTTTAAAAATACAGGTATATAAATTAATGAAACTGGTATTTAAAAGATTTAATACAAGGAAAAAGGTATTGTATAGTGGTACCAATTCTTAATACAAATCATTAAGCATAGTTTATATAATTTCAAAAGTTATTCACATTATTGCTCGATACCACAGCTATATGGAACAAGTTCTTGACACACATTAAAATTTGTATAATTTCCGGTTTATAAAATCAAAAATTTACACATAAGCCATTCAGAAAGTTTTAAAATGTGTGGACATATATACAACCCAAAGGAGAAAAAAAAATATGTGTGTTTGTATATATTTAAAAGAAACAAGCTGATCTGATTTAAATTTAAATGTCATACTCTCAATCAAAAACGTACACGTAACTGAACTGAAAGCAAACTAGTAGATAAAAACAGTACTAAATATGTCTGCCATTTCTTAGTAATAATCTGTTCTAAATATCAATGGGGTATTAAACACAAGTTTATTTTTAATTCTAGAACTTATACTTTCTTTCGAAAACTTTTTAGAAACATATATCCTTCTATAACCGTGTTATATTGGGAGAAATATTTTCCCTAGAAAGTTTTTAAAGGAGTATTTCCATACTTTTGTATATAAGATTTGATAAACAATAAAAAATAACCCAAGTAAGGCATTATCATCTTGATAAAAAATATATACAGGTTGTAATGCTACTATATTTAATGATCCTGAGCTCTAGTAACCATTAGATGCATGCATACCATTCACTGATTTGTCTATTCTAATAAAAATAATTTAATCCTGGCTTGCTACCTTTGAAGACAGAAATCCTTTCAAAACTTTTTTATAGGTCTGCATAATGTTACAGATATTTCCACTGTAAACAGAGCATTAGGAATTGTATGAGAAAGAATATGTTAAATTCCCAAAAGCTATTAAAGAAAACTTACTATTTTAAAATAAAAACTATGTTAAATTTAAAGAGAAAGAAAAATCATACAAAGAGTGTGCTTGCTAGAATTGACAAGTACAGCCTTACAAAGGTGTTTTTCTATATTAAGGAATTAATAAATAAAGGACTGTGTGTACCTTAGTGATAAAATAAAAAAGGCTGGCCACTTTTTATGCTAAGTTCAAATGTATTTTTTTGATAATACAAAAAAGTAATCCTTGAAAATCAGAATACATAACAGAAAAGAGCACAATAACTTAGGTATTAAACATCTGTATGAAATAACTGTTGCAAAGTTGGACAAAAACGCACACTTAGAACATGCGGTTATTTAAAAAAAAAAAAAAAAAAACAGAAAAAAAACACCACACGATTCTGTAGAACCAATGTTATGTTACCACCAGAAGAGCACCAAGCAAGGCACCATTGGAAAGACAACATACTTGGAAAGTCTCTATAAATAAAGTAAATGCTAATCTGGTCGAAAAATCGGTGTCTTTGGTAAAAATTCTATGAGGATGACCTGTAGAAGGAGAAAAAAAATGTTTTAATAAAAGATTTAAATAGATTTTCATCTTAACTAAACTTCAGTTATATTCCATCACTTAAAACAATGTTGTTAGTACCTCTGACATACAGGAGAATACACGCACAAATAAACAAGAAAACCGAACTAGCATTTACTGAGTATAACTACAAGTGTTTCATACTATATGGATCTACTTAATCCCAAAAACTTTTCTATAAGGCAAGTAGTATCATCCTCATTTTACAGATGAGGAAACTGATGATCTGAGAAGGGTAACAGGATGGATTGTAGAGTCACTATTTGAATATAAAGGCCAGTCTTAATCGCAAAGGCTTGCCTTTTCTACTCTACTACGTGGTACAGCTGATCCAATATGGATTTCTTCAGGCTTCCACCCATTTGTCTAACCCAATTAGGTTCTAGAATTGCTCTCATTTTACTGTACCAGGATATGTGATCTCTAGATAAAGGGTACCAATCCTTTATCTCTTCATGTTTTTAAAGTCCTTTTCTTCTTATGTTAGCAAAATTAAAGGCTGAAATTTGTTTCAAAGGACCTTTTACAAAAAACTAAAGGAAAACCTACCAAGACAAAACACTAACGCAGAAAGACACAAGTTGACCAGAGCTAATTTTTATCCCAAACTTGAACTGTCTTAAATTCCAATGAATTATTTTCCTTTTCCAACTCTGTATAGAATAGGTGCTAAACAAACAAACAAACAAAATTATTTGATTTGAACACTTCCAAATTTGGTGAACTCATTCCCCGCCGCTCCTCCCTCCCCCGAAACTGTATCTAAAACTTGAGGATTAAATGTTTAAACTACTTATGAGTCAACATTCAATAAATACTTCTATATTTCAAACATGTCCTCAATCAAGCAGTCTATGCAGTTTCAGCTCTTGAATGTAGGCATCACGTTTTATATACTACAGAGTAGAAAATAAATGTTATCTTTGGCCATATTTGCATTATTATTTTTTAAAGAATATATCCTATGAACTCTTTTCCTTCAGAAGAAATGCATAAAAAATGGTCACTTGTCTCATTCCTTCTAAATCATACTGCTCTACCATATCAGAATAAAAGAAAAGTTGGTATTTTTCTAGATTGACTCCAATATTCAAAATATAATTAAGGACAATTATTTTCCTTTAACTAACAAATGAAATATCTGTAAGTTAAAGAAAAGTTCAGGTCAAAGAGAAATACATTATAAAAATGCCCCAATTCATTAGATAAGGAAGCACTTTTTTCTTACTAGATTACTTTCTATCTTTTAAAAATTATATGTTAGAAAGTTTTTGAAATTATGTTATTCCCCCATTCAACTATCACAAATAAACATACTGAGAAAATTTAGAAAAATACATTTTTTTACTACTCTTCTGATGGTATGAAAAATATAACAGCTTTACTAGCAGAATTTAATTATCTAAAAATTTATAATAAATTAAAGATAACTATTTTACAAATGAAGCACAGAGCTCATGACATTTTGGAAGGTTAGTAAATTATTTTACTTTTAGTTAAAAAATATAAAACAAAGATGAATACAATGAATATATTTTATGAATGAATGACATTCCTATAGTTCTATCCGGAAATAATAGTATTGGGAATAACTTCAATGTTTTCCTTTCCAATGTAAATTTAGAAATGTGCAAAAATAAATAAAGCCTCAGTTTTAAGCTTAGTGTTTGGGTTTATAAATAAAGCAATTTTTTTTTTCCTCACAAAATGCTTTAAATCTCCTACATTTCCATCCCTCCTGCCAAAATATATAAACTCTCTTACCATCTCTGATGGAAACACAAGACTGGTATTTTCATAGGTCAATTTCAAAACAAGTTATTTGAATGTGCTTTTTTATCAGTATTATAAAGTATCAAGTATCTTTATCATCATCATAAAGTAACATGTTTGATATAAAAGATAATGATTAATTTTACATTATTTGGTTCACTGAATATATAGACTTATTATATGAAAAAGGAGACATTTTAAAGACATCTTTTATGTTCAAGGCTAGAAATGGGATTTGACTAAATGATAATGAAAGAAAGAGTAAATACTACAAAGCAAAATGATTTTATGACAATTTCCAACTATGTAAGCACTGTTTTAATCAATCTTTCACACACACACACACACACACACACACCCTATGATGGCTTGTTTCAAAGAACAGAATTTGTCAGAAATGATGTGCCAGGTACTTCACAAAGGCTATGACTTTAATTTCAACAATCAATTCTTCCTTAAATCTTTTTCAGTTAATATAATAACTTTTCCATAGTTAAAATAAAATGCCAGGCTTAAGGCAAAATAAATAAAAACTCATATTTTTTTATAGTATTATGAATTTTTCAAAAGGAGAAAAATTGTTCAAGTTAAGAAGTCAGTAAATTAAACACCATACTGAATAAGTTCTAAAATGCACTGGATACATGTGCCAACTTGGATATCTTTTAAAGAATATACAAAGGATAGGCAAAATCCCATCTCCTATTAACTTTAAAGATAATTTTTATTAAAAAATATTCTAATAACACTTTAAAAGATTCTTTAAAGGCTACTGAGGTAAGGATAGTTAAAATTTATAAAGGCTAAAGGTTTCTTAAGCTCCAATGGCTTGGCTGAAAGGTTTTCTTCCACACTTGGAAACTTGATTAGCATTATATAAAAAAGCCATATCTGACTTGCTGCGTAACCAAAGTTGTGGTTATTCTTTATACAGCATCTAAAATTTCACACTCCATCAACACATGTTCAGGCTATTTTATCTTGGCAATTAATTTATTATTTTTCAGAACACAGTGAAGCCTTGTTTTCAAGTCATTCATAACTTTATAAATCAGTCTTGCACATGAAACCATGCATCTGTGAACCGTAGAAAATCCTTGCACTCAGGAGATTAAGCTCCTGACACCTTTGCTGATTAATAATCATGGAAAGAATAAGATCAGAAGCAAAATAAATGATCATTTAATAGAGAAACTCACAAAACAGCCCTTTAACTTACATATTCCATCATGTTATTCGTTTCACATTTCCTTTTGCTCAGTCTCCAGTGCAAGCACAGCTAGACAAGAAGGAGAGTAAAAGAAGAAAAATGAGCTCTATTTTATTGCAGCAAACAGACTAACCCATTTGTCCACCTTTCATATTTTTAGTTCAACAAAAGCATCTGTTTCCATACTGTGCAATTCAGACCCCAACAGTACGAAGCTGCTCCCTGTGGTACTCACCTTGTGGTATAACCTATTGTTTTCCCATTCTAATAACTTCTCAATCGATCTTCGTGTCTGGAAGACAAATGAGAAAAAAGTTTACTCTTGACTGGTTTTAGAAAAACTCTGTTTTGCAGCTGCTTTTTGTGTGAGAAGGAGCGAGGTATAAGACAGTGACTGAATATAGGGTATCCTATAACACTATCAACAGTCTAGTACTAAATAGTAACCTAAATACAAATAGTCCTGTATTTTAATAAAGATATGGTTTGGGTTTGTTGGTTTTTTAAGCATTGTATTCTTTTTTCACTGTTTCAAACTTACTAGCCTCTGATTTTAAACTATCAAAATCTAAAAAGCTAGCTATCTATGAAATGTTATAAATTTAAATCCCCATTTATTTCGAAAATATATTTGCAATACTTAAACAATATGTAAGTATTAAGTATTAAAACAGGGGCAAAAGTGTATTTAAACCAACAAGATTAACAGTAAAATCAAGCTCTTAATTCAACACTACTGTTAAAGAAATCAACTGAGAAATTTATGTTTAAGATCACTTTATTTTTGCAATATACACTATGTAGCATGAAATGTTTCTTGCTTAGGTGTGTGAATAAAGGAGAGGATAATTCATGGTGCCAGGTGTTAGGATGAGACTGATACAGCTGCAGGTGCAAAAGGACAGTGTTGCCATAAGAATCAAATGCAACCTGGTGCAGCTGCAGCTTCCTCACAAGGGAAGGAAAAAAACATCTAGTACTACTAATGTGGCACAACTAAATAAGTACTAATAATCAAATGTGAAAAACTGCATATCAAGCAAGGATGAGCTAGGTGAGAAATTGTTAGGATCAAGCTGGTTTTCAAGTCAAATGTTACATAATAAAATAGTAGCTATTATTATCTACTTACCATATTACCTTTCAGTATGCTGAACATGCTAAAGACACCACAGTCACGTATGTGTCAACTATAATTCATAACTACCAGTGAATTACCACCACTGCCTTACATTTTCCAAGCTTATGTCATAAAAATCAGAAAACCAACTAACTCTCTGGATAATAATATGCCAATGACTAATTTATTACATTATTTTTTAACAGTTTTTTTGGCATGAATTTTAAAGGGGGAAAAAAAAGTGCCCTTGCTAACAATGATCAGCAGACCTCACTTGTTTCTTTGTAAAGATAGCCTTTTAGAGGCAGCTCTCCTTTTAAATGAAAATAGGGCAGCAGTTATGGTCACACTTTTTGTTAATTTAGTTGCCAGTCAGCCCCAAATCAAAAGAAAATAAGGCTGCAGAGTGTAATTAACATTCAGTTCAGTCGTTTTGTCCCTTGTCTAGCCCCCAAGCTTTGTTAAAATTGCCATCTGAATGCTGAAGGCTGTAGGGAAATCGATTTGATTCTAATCGCACCATGAAAAGAACATGATCTAACTGCTTTCAGCCCTCCGTAAATCTGTACTAGGTCTTTAGCACAATGCAACTTCCAATTTAAAAAGCACTGAATGTCTCGTCAATGACTTTGTGAAGAAAAAAGAACAAGGAGCAGACATAAAAATTCCAATAGTTGTTTAAGCATTAAAGTTCATTTGCATCACAGCAAACCTGAAAAGGGCTGACCTCTCAAACCGCCTCTCAGGTCTATGAAGTTGTAGCCTTGACAAGCTCACATTGACAGAGCTCATTGACTCTGAAAGGCTACTCTATCAATGGTGAAAAATGGCAATAGGTTCTACTCTGAGCAGGCATCTGCCTGCCCACCCGCTGCTAAACCAATGGCAAAACCGATTCAAACCCTGAATCTACCTTGTAATCTTCCTTTATAGGACCTTTTAATAATAGATTAAGATTACTATACAATTTGAGGTTTTACTTTTACTGATGGTTTAAGTGTTGGGGGATGGGGGTTAAAGAACCAGGGTGAGGAGAACAAGCTTTCCAAGTCATTTTATATTAAAGTGTAAAAATTAAAACCTTAATATTACATTCTGAAAAATTTCATTATTCAAAGAAAAAAGTGTAGTTATCACTATCATCATTTCATCATAAATTTAAGCCCATGTTATATTATAATGAGAATGAATCTCATTACAAATGGATCTCATAGTATATATGATATACACACCCAAACACACCATTTAAAAATTTTTAAATATTTACTTTATGTAACTTAAATCAACAAGCAGTATTTAAATAAAATGTACGTATAAAGTATGAAACCTAAATTCCAAAATATTTATGTAGGATTTCTGAATATACTCTTTGCCTCTAATTAGGAGTTTAATTATAGGGTTTGGTATAATAATTGCATTTTACAATATTTAAGAATTTTAAACCAAACAAACCCCGGTATACCATATTCTGAATAAGCATCCACATATAAAATATTTCTACACACTTGACAGTCTGAAGTAAAAGCTGTGAATTGGCACCACCAAATCTTGCTGTAAGACCTCTTTCCTGCTTGACAGGTGAAAAAAAAGCACTTGCACGTGCAGCTTAATTAATCATTACACTTGACATCTCAATGATTTACAGTGAGGAGCAGGTGAGAACATACAAAACCAGAAAGAAACTCTTGATTTGAGTGGAACATTTCTAGCACACTAAGGTGACAAGTATATAGATTCTAGCAATCATTAAGAAAGAAAGAGAGAAAGAGAAAGAAACTGCCACAAATTATGTTAATAACAAAAACTCAAAAGGGGGAAAAACCTTAATTACTGAGAATGTTTAATATTCTGCAATTATTTTTAGTTAACAAAATCAAAATATATTTTCAAAATTAAATACAATACCAATTTGGCAGATACTAAAAAAATATGACACTTCAGTAATTATAAAGCTACTTAAAAGCCTTTAAACATGAAAAAAAGCACCTTATAATTGCAGTACTCTAGAAATAAAGGGTAAGAGTTTATGTCCACAAGGTTATCAGATCCTATTCCTAATGAAATGTAAGATTCAACACTGCCAAACTCTACTAATTACTACGAGGTAAGCAAATCTAAACATATAAAAATCTGTCCTTCATTTTTAAAAGGTTGTATCAACCACTAAATTCAACATAAATTAAAGCAAACTAATATTCATTAGAAAAAAATAATATGTATAGGGACTGTCAACATGACATATCAAAAAAAAAAAATCATCTTTCAGTATTCCAGGCCAGTGGATTTCGAAAAATAAGTCCTTAATTTCTTAAAAAGTATTTGGTGCTAGTGAAAAGCACCAGCCTGATAGTCATGGGAACTAAAATCTTCTATTTAACTGAAAGAACAGAGGAAAGGCAGTACAGGCTTCAGTGCAAGCTTCCCTACAGTGGGCCTTAATCCTTTTCAGTGCTTACACCCTAGGGGTGAGAGGACAGGTTAGGGGTTCTTAACCAAGAATTCTCACTCCTTCTACATAAGATGATAAAAAAAAATCTAATTTTATCATGAATTATTATCCTTAATTAAAAGGGCCAAGACCACCAACTCACACCATGAAGCAAAATCAGTTTTTATGAGACTGACATCACATCACTAACTTGGTCTGGAAGAGGACAGCTCCCACCCTTCTCCCTCATCACAGAGCTCACTTTAACTTTTTATCACACATTTCTTCATATTTTTCTCACTGGTAAATTAGTTCTAATATTGCCATTAAGCAATTTTTAAGTAAAAATTAACAAGAGATTTAAAACATCATTTCAATTACTAAATAGACATATTTATCAAATAGGCTTAATTAACTTCAATAGTAAGTAGTAGCAACAGAAGTATAGTAATTTTGGCTTCAATTTCTACTGCCTTTGGTTCTTCTTAAATTTTTGGTAGAATTGTGGAAAATAAGTCAAAACATAAAAATTGCAAGAGAAGCAAATGGCCTGGATAATTCACAAAATAGCTAATTAAATAATTAATCAACAATTAATATTAGGTATAGCTTACCCCATATCAATTTCCAAAGACCCATGTAAAGTAAGCTTTCAATTATAAAATATATATGAGTCACTTAGAAATAGTAAGTTACAATAGAAAATAAGGATCTCCTAAAAATGTAAATTTGACTTACTATGAAGAAGCATTTTAGTAATTTTTTCCAAATCTCATAACTTTCTAAGAAATAAATTATTATTCCCTATAAATAATGTGCAATTAGATATAAATAAAACTTTAGGGGAAGCAAGAAATCTTTTAGAGAATCTTGAATGTATTACTCCCCTACTTTATTACCACTAGGTACTTATAATATACTCATGACCAATAATTGATTTATTTACAATCAATCATTTGAAAAAGTGGATTTACAAGGTGTGGTTTTCTAAAGTTGCTAATAAAATCAGTGAGAATCTCATGAATTTTAAAGTACTTAAAGCCAAAGGAAAAAAAAAATGTGGAAGCTGTAACAAAATTTCTCTGAAATTTCCCCCAAAATAGCATTATCATCAGATTGTAGAACATAAATATGCTAAGATATGTTAACAAAATATACAAATAAAGTATCTCACTAATAACTATAAAAGTTAAGCTATTTAAACTTAAAATGTATTTGAATAAAATTTATTCATTACATCCCAGAATGTCAAAGTGCAATTTCAAATGTTCAATTTCTTATTAAAACAGGTTTTAATTTTAAACTCCCAAATCATAATACACTAAGTTTAACAAGAATAATGCTTTGGGTGTATTCTTAATCTTATTTTTTAACTGTTAAGTACTTTTAAATAAAAACTATACTTATTTTTTAACATCTATACAAATTCAAAGTACTAACATGTGAAACAAAAATGTTCTTTGTTATAAGTGAATAGAAGAAAACCATCTAATATTTTAAATAAGTTATTTTAACTTAAGAAAAAATTACTTGATTCAGCTCTTTTGTTCTGGATTAATATAAATCTTATATTGCAGGGATGTGCAGAAAATTAAATCGCGTATCTCAGTATTATACATGAAAAATCTGGACTCACCAATAAGATAAATTAGAATATGATTGGATCCCTCAAGAAAATTTCTAAACAAATTTCCTTGTACTTAAAGGCTCCTTTTAGGAGCCAAAACACACAATGGAGAAAAGA